ATTGTAATTGAATCTCTATAACATTATTAGTAATAATAATTGTAAATTATTAATGCCTAAATCTGGGTTTTATGTTCATAAATCATAATTTAAAACAACATGATAAAGAAGAAAATGCATAACTGCATGTCTGCATCCATGAGAATTGAGAGGTAAGCCTCATGGACATCTGTATGACGATGATTATTAAGCCGTTTCAAGTCGTTCACTAACAACATAAAATAAACATATTATATTTATATGTATCACTGGATTTTCAATCGCATACTTTAATATACAATTAACTACTTAACAAATAATTTCTCAGTTAATTGTTGTAATATTTAATTTTGTATATCCTTGAGCTGAGAAATTTGAATTAAAAAAAAAATGAGGAAAATGTAAAATTGTATTTCATGCATGTGTATCATTAAACAAATCTAGTTTATAATGTAGAGGTGATATAGTATAAATATAGAACAATTGTAATTTATCAAATAAAATCATATATTATCTAAATCTGTCTAGAAACTTATAACATTGTTATATTTATTAAAGTACATTTAAAAATAAAAATTATATTATATAAATAATTATTATTTATTAACAGTGAATTTAAATACTTCTTATATAGTAAACTCTTGTAATAATAAAATGTATTTATGCAATAATAAGATGGAGTAGTAACTAGTAAATATATCTAAAAATAAAACATAATCATATTACATAGTTTCAATGAAAAGTTTAATTATAAACGGTTCTATTAAATTACTTGTGATTTATACCCGTGTATTATAACAAGGTTAACAATTATAGCTTTTTCAATAATAAACCAAATACGCAATTAAATCTAATACTTGAGATTTGTACATTATTGTAGCGGTGCCCTAATAGAAAAATTCCGCAATTAATGCTTGTGATTTTATTAAAATTATGCATACTAGTTTCTTTCTACTTACGGACATGCGAACCTTCTACAATATTCTAACGGTGATCTATAATAAACTTAAAAAAAAATGTAATTATCAGTTTTATACAATATTATAGTACCGATTCATATACCATAGTTTTATATCATAATATATAATAATAATAATTAATTTTACATACTTAAAATGTTATCTTGTTCATAATGCGTAATAAAATTATTCAGTGGAACTGAAATGATTTAAATTATGTTTAGGTAAGATGTTTGTTATTACTTTATAATTGTTACATTTTATATTTAAACAAAAAAAAGGCGGGTAAGTCGTGGATGTCGCTCTGCTGTAGGTACAGTAGGTTTTACAAGTGGGTTATTACTGTAATGAATGGAATTAAATTTGAATCCAATGATATTATATCATTGTATATACGAAAAACGATTCTGAGCGAAGACGGTTTATCTGTCTAGGATATTTTATAGATAATTAAAAATTTTCAAATCTTAGATTTAAAA